GGGTTTGGGTAACCTCTCTCAGGATGATCTTTTCTAGTCCCATCCATTTGCCAGCACATTTCGTGATGTCATTGTTTTTAGCAGATGAGTTATACTCCATAATGTAAATAACAAAAGTTGGTTATTTAAAAGTTGTATTATGGTTTATATTGTGATCTTAAATGAGATCTTGGAAATGAACAATAAAGGAAAAATTATGGCTAAATAACGCTGCTTGTATGTGTCAGGGTGACAAGGGGTCAGCTGTGATGGTGATTTTGTCGACTTGATGCAAACTGGAGATACCAGGAAGAGGGAACCTCAATCTAGGAGTTGTGTCACACTTGTTTGGAGGCATGTTTGTGGACATTTTCTTATTAACAATTGACATGGGAGGACCCAACCCCCAGTGAGCGTTGTCATCCCTGGGCAGGAGGTCTGAATTATATAAAAAACAAGATGAGCAAGGCAGGAGGAGCAAGTTAGCCAGCAGATTTCATGTATGTTTCTTGCCACTTTTCCAGCTTGAATTCCTGACGGCTTACTTCATTGATGGACTATGATCAGAAATGTAAACCAAATAAATTATTCCCTCCCCAAGTTTAATTTGGTCTTCATGTTTATTTATCTTGGTAATAGAAAGCAAACCAGTTCAAACACCAAAAGAGGTAACCCATTCCTGGCACTGGCATTTTTATTTGATACCCTGTGGTATCTAGTAGATTTATTTATTCTTGTCCCAGGCTAACTCCATCTTAACTCTTTGTATTTGTGTGTGTATAATCTTCTAGAATGAAGGAAATTTTAAATTGATCCATTATTTTTTCATTACAATTATAATAAACACACACTAATTGTACAAAGTAGTTGGGTGTTGAAAATTTTAGTATATGCATTTGCATAGATTTCCTGATATTCATCTCTCCTTCACCCTCTGTTGTCCTCTCCCTTCCCCTGTCTCTGCTCCTCCTACCCTTACTCATTTGTCTAACTTCCAGTTTCAGAGCATCTTTACTTTCTTTTTTTCCTTCTTTTCCTTTTTTGTTAGTTTTCACATATGAGAACACATGTGTGGTGTGTCTCTACATGTCTGCTTTATTTTGCTTAACATTATGGACTTCAATACCATCTGTTCCCCTACAGATGGCACCATTTTTTTTCTTTGTGGTTGAATTTTGCTCTGTTGTTTGAAGTACAATATTTTCTTCATTCATAGGTTGACAGGTGATACCTAGGCTGTATGTGGGTAATAGTGAATGGTGCTGTAATAAACATGTATATGCAGGTCTCTCACTTATGTAATGACATCAGTTTTCCTGGATAAATGCCCATAAGTAGTATTAGTAGGATCAGTAGTCTTTTTCTCTTCCTTCCTTCCTTTCTTTCCTCCTATGTTCCTTCCTGCTTAGTTTCTTTCTTTTAATGCTTCAGAAGAATAACAGTGCTATTCTTGGTGGCTTTAGCAACACATATTCCTACCAACAGTGTATAATGGTAGAATTACAATGAGGGGATTTCTGA